GTGTACTTTTATTCTCCCTAATAAGATAATTTGTATTGTAGGTTATATTTTTTTTCTTTCTTACCAAATATATGTGTGCCAAACTTTTTTTTGTCCTAAACTTTTCTTGTCTTTTTTCTGTTATGGTGGTTTGCGTATACAATTCATATACATTGTGTTTCATTCATGTACATTGTGTTTCACACATTGCTTCATTCATATTGTATGTTATACATATTCCATATACAGTGTTTTATGAAATTAATTGCCATTGATCTAAGCCCACAGTCACTCCATCTTTTCAAGTCCTCAATGAATCTATCCTAATTCCTTCACCCCCTCCCTCCATTACCAAACATTGAGACACCGTGAATCTCCCCACCTCAACCCATTTGTCTCCTTCCCCTCTTTGGACTTTTACCCACATCTTACTAGTTAGTTATTCTTCTGTTTTTACAAAAATGGCCTTATGCAGTATTTGCGCTTTATGAGATTGAGTTAGTTCACTCAGTGTAATGCTCTATAGCCTCTCTGTTATTCTTGAGTGCTGCATAGTATTCCATTGTGTGAATGTACCACAATTTCACATTTTTCTCATTTGGGCTATTTCTAGTTTCTTGCTATTGTGAACAACACTGCTATGAACATCAGTGTACAAGTATCTGTTTGTGTCTCAGTTCTGTTTTCTTTGAAATATATTCCTACCAGTGGAATTACTGGTATGTGATTTCTGTGTTCAGCTTTTTAAGGAAATGCCAAACTGCCTTCCAGAATGGTTGTATCATTTTACAATCCCACCAGCAGTGTATGAGAGTTCCATTCTTTCTACATCCTCTCCAACATTTATTGCTTGCCATCCTGTTAAACTTTGCCACTGCTACTGAGGTAAAATAACCTCTCTTTGAGGTTTTGACTTGGCATCTCTCTCGTATTGCCAGTGATTTATTTTCTCCCTTCTATGTTTATTATTACTATTAATATTAGTAGTATTATACTGGTTTGTTTACAAAGTTCGTATACATTGTTTTTCACACCGGATAGCTCACATTTCTTTCACCCACCTCTCCCTCCACCCATCAAATTGTGCAGCCCCTCCCCCATCCTCACCCCTCTGCTCTCACTCTCCCCCACCTTGGATCCTCATACTTGTTCTACAGTAATGGTCTTATACAATATTTGTCCTTACAGGACTGAGTTTGTTCATTTGGCTTAATGCTCTCTAGTCCTTCCTGAGTTAGGTTGTAATTTACAAAATTGTTGTTTCTTCATGCTGCATAGTATTCTATCATGTGAATGTACCATAATTTTCAATCCATCAATTATGTTTGGACATGTGGGCTGTTTCCATGTTCTTGTGATGGTAACTACCACTGCTGTGAACATTGGTGTACAAGTCTTAATGCCAATGATTTTGAACATTTCTTCATTTATCTGTTGACCATCTGAATATCTTCCTCTGTGAAACAATCTTTCCGTGTCTTTTGCCCATTTTGTAATTGGCTTATCAGTCTTTTTCTTCTGGAAGCCCTGTAGTATTCTATAGACTTTTGTTATAGGACCATTGTCTGAGATGGTATTGCAAAATGTTTTCTCCCACTCAGTGGGATTTTTTTTTTCCACTCTGTTGGAAAAAGTTTCTGATGCTTCAAGGATTTACTGTTTAGAAAGTCCCATTCATCAGTTTTATCCTTTTCTGATTATGTATTTCTTGCATTTTTTTGTCAGCCTCATTATACTATAGGTAAGGCCTTCTAGCTTGGTCCCACCTTGTCTCTTATGATCTTTATGGTTTTGAACTTGACCCCCTAGGTCTCTGATCCATCTTGGGTTGTGTTTTTTTGTTTTGTTTTGGGTTTTTTTGTATGGTGAGGAGTATGGATCATGCGTCAACTTTCTGCAGGAAGCAGCCCAGTTTTGACAGCACCCTTTGTTAAAGAGAGTAATTTCCCTTTTTTCTACTTTTTAATTTTGTTGAGAAAGTTTACTTATTTTCTTGGAGGTTACCCTCATTCCAGTTCTACAACAATACAATTTATCTTGACATCTTCTTACCTTCTCTTCCACTTAGGAGTTTTATAACTATATATCTTGTTCCTTCTTTTTGCTTTGTATTTATCTTCTTTTAGGGAATGCTATCTCTTGATTCCTTATTCTAGTCTCATATGTGGACATCTGTCTGGGACTGTTTTTGCAAGATGTCCTCATATATGTTAATTTCAGATAACTGTCTATTATTGTTGAATCTGGGTCCAAAGAACTCCTTTTGAGATTTCTTGTTAAGTTTGGTCTAGTCTGTACAAGTTGCTGTTTATCTGGAAAGTTCCTAATTTCACTGTTACTCTTGTGTGACAGTTTTGCTGGATATTTAATTTTTGGTTGGCAAAATTTTTTTTCTTTTAAGGTTTTCATGTCTGTCCATTAACATTTTGTTCATGGTTTCTGCTGAGAAATTTGAGCTTGGACTTACTGGTTCTCTTTCATCTATGTCTTTATTTTTCTTGATCTGCTTTCAGTATTCTTTGTCTTTAATTGTTTAAGATTTGATTATGATTTGTCTTCTTGTGTACTGTAGAGTCAGAGCCAACCCATAGCTGGCCTTCCCGTGTGTTATCAAAAGCAGTTAATTGCATGGGAGGAGATTGCCTTCATGATTGCAGCACAGCTTCTTGCCACTAGGCCACCTGTGTTACCTGTGATTTGTCTTAGTGGTTTCTTTTTTTTTGTCTATTTTGTTTTTAGTTCACTTAGCTTTTTCAGTGCATATTTTCTCATTTTTTCATGATATTTGGAAAATTTTCTTCCAGCAGATCTTCACCCATTTGCTCTGTGCTTTTTTTTGTTCTCTTCCTGTTCTCGAATTTCAATCACATATACGTTATTGCTCCTGACATTGTTCTCCATAAGTCTTATCCTTTCTTCATTTTCTTTCCTTTTTCCCCCCATCTCACTAAGTCTGTTTTCCATTTCGTCAGCTCTTTTGTTGTTCTGGTGTATTACTTATTCCGAAATTTTAGTTTTAGTGTTAAAAATTTCAGTTTGCTGGGTTTTGTGTTGTTTCTGACTTTCCACTTATTTTACCTATTTGGTCTTGCATAGTTTTTGTTTTTAAATTTTTCTAGGTTTTCTTTGTTTTTCCCAATTAGTAGGAGATTTTTAACCATAATTCTTTCAAATTCTTTCTTAGAAATTCCCAGTAATGTCTTCCTCTAAAAGGTTTTCTAGTTCTTTTTTTCAGATGCTTTTGTAGCAACTGATCTTGATAATTTTGAGTGATCTGATGCTCTCTGTTGCCCCTGAGCTATTGTGGAGTTATTGTCATGTTTATCTTGGTTTTGATATATCTGGTTGAACTATGCAAATATATTGCACCAATTGCTAATTTGGTAAATGTTGGTTTTGCACCTCCTATCTTTTGGTAATTCTGATATAGGATGGAGGTATGTGTGAAGTCCTGTTCACTCTCTGCATAAAGCAGTTGAGGGTTTCTATCTCACTCTCTCATTGCCATTGAGTCTGAACCGACTCATAGCTGACCGTTCAGCAGCTTTTCACACAGGAGGAGACTGATCATCTTTCTCCTCCAGAACTGCTGGTGGATTAGAACCACCTGCCTTGGCTTGGCAGTGCCATTCTTTACACAGACTGGAACAGTGTTGCTTACAGTCTTTCAGGAGCTGGTCTTTACTTTTACTTAACAGGTGAATCTATGGGAAGTGTATGTGTGGCTAGATAAAGTTGTCTCTTGCTAAATGGGGGAAAGAAAAAGGGAAACAAAAGAACAAATGGTACTTAATAGAAACAAGATTGGGCAGTGTTAAAAAAGTAGAAAAACTCTGAGAGGGGTACAAAAGGAAGAAGAATCATAATAGAAAGATAAAAAAGAGGAAAAGAAAAAAAATTAAAGACAATTCCAGCATGGGAAAGGAAAAAGCTAAAAAGGAAGAAGCAGAAAAAATTGGTAGGGAATTGTATCACCACCACCAGAAAAATCACAGTAACAAAAAAAAAATGATAGAAAATTAGTAAAAAAACCCAAACAGTGATGGAAAATAAAAACTGAGAGAAGAGTGAGGGTCCTTAGAAGGATGGGATAGGCATTTGCTTTGTATTCTTGTCACTGCTGAAATAGGTGGACACAAGATATTTGGTCTGAAACTGTTTGCCAGTCCAACAGAAGTTTGAGTGCCTAGTCAAGTCAGAGTTTCTGCTTGTTTCAGAGATACCTGACGCCAGAAAGTATAACCTAAGCTAAGCACAGCACATACTCTGTTGTGGGGGATGTCGAGGGGGGGACCACTTAGTGTGGGATAGAGTTTCTGCTGATTTCGCTGTCTTTACTTGGCAAGCAGTCTCCCACCCACCCTCACTCCAACCCCCACCAGTCTCCTGTGATTTTGAAAAAGGACTTGCTCAAAGAATAAAAAGGTTTTAGTTAATTAAAATTTGGGTGGACTATTTCCTCATTTCCATATACTGTAGCAATAATTATTCACTTCAATCACTTCTTACCTCTTGTCTTCCTTCTGTGTTATAAGAATGAGAGGAAATGAAAGAAATTCATTCTAGCTCCTTCCCCCCATCACTTTAACCTCTCGATTTGGTCTTTTCTGAACAAGCAAATAGTTGCAGAATCTTGGGAACTTGAGAGAATGTTCTGCCTCAAAGTTCATCTGGCTCTCTTCTAAAGATAACAATGAAATAATAATTCATAGGAGTTTGGAATAAAATTTTCAGACTGTAAGCAGGTACTAGAGTTATTTCATCATGACTGGAATTTTTCTAAGGATATGACCCTTATAAAGTCCATAGTTGTAGTTCCATAAGAAGCGGACTTATTTCCTTAAAGAATATATTTTGGCAAATGTGTGTAGTATCAGTATTCTTAAGTCTTCTCTTTAAACGAGAAGAAAATAAAAACCACTGTAAGAACATTTCCTTATGTTATCAAATGTGTATATAAGTAGCTTTATTAACCTTCTTGTTTGAGTGCAAACCAAATTACTTCCTGTGTCCTGCCCTAGACGGCTGCTCAGGACGCAATCCTGCATGCATCTGGAAATGGCAGCATTTTACCCTCTAAGGACTACTGCATGCTGTATAACCCTCATTGGACAGTGCTTCCAAGTACCCTAGAAAATGCAGTAAGTAAATCACAGATTCTCTTCTTGATTGTAAAATTTTGGAAAACTGAGGAAGAAGTGGTAATTCTGTTTTAGGTAACAATAGTTGTATGATAATTAATTATTTTGTTGATCTTGCTTAGATATTTATGTCTCTTTCTAGAAAAAGCAAGTTGAGGAATTTTCAAATTTTTCTAAGTCTGGCTGTTAGTCATAAAGCATTTCTAATTTAAAAGAGTTTTATGTTAAACCAATTACCTAGTACTTTATCACTCAGTGCATTTTGAATAATGTTTATCTTGTTAATGACATTTTTTTAAATTTTCAGACTTCCATTAATTTGATGAATCTGACTACCACGCCACTATGCAACTTTTCTGACCTTCCTCCTGGTGGGATAAAGGACAGAGCAATTGTAGTACAGTGGGGAACCTGCCATATTCTTGAAAAAGCCAGAATTGCACAGAAAGGAGGTGCCGAAGCAGTGTTGATTGCTAATAACAGTGTTCAGGTAAGTTCTAAATCTGTAATTACTTTTTGGTGTGTATGTTCATAAAGTCAGATTTCACAGAAATTTAATTACATCTGTGTATGTGATTTAGAGGCTGAGTTTTAGATAGTCTGATGATAGGTAGGATTCTTTGAAATTAAAAGTTCTGGTTCTGATAGACGTTTAATTGGAAAATTTTGTAGTTTGTAGAGTAAACAAGACTTTGTTAGAAACTAATAAAATCATAAGTTTTAGGAATGTATCATAAGCTCAGTGCTGCAAGGGTTTTGAACTGCTTGTTCTGTATTGTAGCAGATGTTTTCCCTTTTTCACATGTTCATGAATCCATTCATTTTGTGAAGGAGGAAGTGAGGCTACAAACATTTATCAGTTTTAAGTGTACGCTAAAAGGATTCCAGTTTTCTTTTTTTATTTTTAATTGTTGAATCCAGTTTTGCATTTCAGTTAATTTTCTTTTCAAAGAATTGCAACATTTTTGAGAACACTTCAGTATTAGGAAAAAATGTTTGAAGCTTAGTACATCAAGAAAAAGGTATGTGAGGCAGAGGGGAGCAGGGAAAGAATGTATAGATAATGAGCACTGCTCTGGAATGTGTGAAAGGAAGGACAAACTGAAAGGAATGGACGATTACAAAGTATGTGTATGACAGTCAGGAGCCTGGAACAGGACAAGCGTTACAAAGGGAATTGGGAGAGGGGAGGGAACAAAGTGTATATGAATGAATGAAACCAAGCTCTTTGTAAACTTTCACTAAAATAATAACTTTTTAAAAAGATATATGTCTATTTAATGACATTATTTGTGTTATTTTCATTATATACATATACTAATACAAATTTTAACTATGAATTTTTAATTTTTTTTAGTATCCTCCCTCAGGGAACAAATCTGAATTTCGTGATGTGACTATTCTTATTGCATTTATAAACAATAAGGACTTTAAGGATATGAAGCAGGTAAATTAGTAATTATCTACTAAATGAAGTTTCTGAATAGTGCAACTTTAGTTCTAATCACCAATGTTTCATTTTAATTGTTATATATGTTTCATTTGCTAATAAGAAACTACACAGATCTAACAGTTCCTTACTGGGAAGTACTTGTTTCCCATTTCCACAGGCTGCCTTGGAGTCATTAATATTACAAAGTGCACTTGTCTTGGCTTCTTTTAAAATGTCACATTCCTGAACAAAATTATTATATGGAAAACTACATTTTTAAGATGTAATAAACAACAGAAACATTTTAATAGTCCACGGCATGGCCTTATACTTTTGATTAGAGGATATATCATACTGTCAAACATCTAGTATTGTTGACTATCTGATATTTAGTATTCATTCTACAGTGAAATGTAAAATATTTCTGCCATACTCTGCAGTAGAAAGAAAACAAATTGCTTTGTTTTACCAGTTATATTGCCTTTCAGACACTTGGAAGTAACATTACTGTGAAAATGTATTCTCCATCATGGCCTGACTTTGACTATACGATGGTAGTCATTTTTGCCATTGCTGTGTTTACTGTGGCATTAGGAGGATATTGGAGTGGACTAATTGAATTGTAAGTGTTGTGAAAATTTATTCTTTGATAAATAGTTTATAAATCATTATTTAATGATTTTATGTTTGATGATTTTGATCATGTAACACCATTGAAAAATTTTACCTGACCTCAGAATATTGTTGTTGCGTGCTATCAGAATCGACCCAAAGCTGAATGTCCAGCAGATTTTTAGAGACAGTCAATAGTATGGGAGATTTTCCATTCCTTCCCTGGTGGAGCGGATGGTGGATTCAAACCACTTGCTTTTGGGATTGCAGCACAGTTTCTTACCTCTAAGCCATAAGAGCTCCCATAGAGAGAATGTAGTGTCAATAAAACCAAGGCTGTGGGCTTGTTCTTGTAAAAGATATCTGTCTTTTCTCTGAGAGGAAGGAAGTCAGCAGTCCTCTAAATTATCTGCTTGTGTGGAACATTGAAATCCTAGCATAGGCTCTGTTAAATTAAAATATTTCATTATCTCTCCCAGGAAAGCTGAAGATGCTTAATACCCTGACATGCCTGTCTGCTTAGATTAGAAGAAAATAAGAAGATGAGGAATTTCGCTTCTTTTGAATGTGTTCTCATTGTTGCATTTAATGCTTTAGGAATTCTGAAACCATCAGACATGTTCATATTTTAATTTAAATATGATCTAATTACTACAGTGTTGATTCCAATTCACAATGACACTGTAGTACACAGTCAAACTGCCTTGTAGGGTTTCCAAGGCTAAAGTTGCTGTTGACATAGACACTCTCTCTCTGTCTGAGCAGCTTCTGTGCTCGAACTGCTGATCTATCGGTTTGTAACTGCTTAGAGGGAAAGAGAGGAGGTGGTCTCCTCTTGTTAGGATTTATAGCTTGGAAACTTAAATGAGGGTGGCCATGAGTCAAAATCAACTTGAAATATTCATTTTTGGTTTGGCATGGAGGCCAAGAGATAACATCATTAACAAATACCCCAATGACTTTTGCTGGCCTGTGGACCACACTTGAGTTAACAAGGCAAAATTTTTCCTCTTCAAGAATTAACAGATGAAAGGGAAGTTTATATTAGCTTTTTTAAATTTTAATAATCAGGTATGACCATGAGTCAAGAAGAAATAATTTGTTGACTCCTATAGCCAAACTGGAAAAAAAGAAATACTCTTTACCTGAAGGATCATGGACTTGAGAGTACTGATCCTAAGGGAAAGATAAAAATAACAAGAAGAAAGAGTGTGTGTGTATGTTACAGGTGGAGGAAATGATAGGAAGAAAAGGAATATAAACTAGCAATAAAAAGGAGAAGAACTATTAAAACCATAAGGACTATCATTTTGCAAATAAAAGAGATTTTGTTGTAAGGAGAATAAGCATTATGGAAGACAAAATTAACCCAAAGAGAAACTTTAAATCAAGAATTACCATCCAAATGAAGGATGTATCATATGCGAAAGGAAAAGATAATTTCATTCCATATGAGACTTTTCAGCTATTAATAGTCTTTTGATAGTGAGATGACTTATCACAATGGTCCTCCAATGTCATAGCCTTTCAATGTCATGAGGGAAAAGGTTGTATATGACTCTCAAGCTGATTTAAGAGTAGTAGTTTGGGTTTTTTTTTTTTTAAAAAAAGATGAGTTGTAATGTTTTAATATGATTATGTATCAGTTTTCCCTTCACAAAATTACCTGATACTTTTCAGTCTATTGAATATGAATATATAACTTTTAGTGAGCTCCAGTAGCCTAGTAGGAAGAAGCTGTGCTGTAATCCCGAAGGCACAGAGCTCAAAACCACCAGCTGACTGACATCCAAGCAGATATATGCACACCCATGTTTATCACAGCTTTGTTCACAATAGCAAGGAGTTGGAAACAACCTAAGTGCCCATCAACAAACGAATGGATAGAGAAGCTGTGGTATATTCACACAATGGAATACT